TGCCAGGCCCAGTCTGTCTCTGTCTCTCTGTCTCTGTCTCTATCTCTCTCTTCCTGCTTCCTGTAGGTCAGGATGCAGCTCTCAGCTACTTCTTCAGCGCCAAGCCTCCATGCCTGCTGCCGCACTCTCTGCCATGATGATAATGGACTAACTCTCTGAAGCGGTAAGCAAGTCCCCAGTTAAATGCTTTCTTCTGTTAGTTTCCTTATAAAATAGAATATAAGTATTCTGTTCCTTCACAGCAATAGAACAGTAACTAAGATAATATGTGTGCATCTGTGTGAGTGTACGCTCACACCTATCGACTGTGTTGGGTGTCCTCCTCTGTACTTCTCCATTTATTGTTTTGAGGCAGGGTCTCTCTCTGAAGTAGGATTTGGCTTTTTTTCAGATAGACTGGAAGCCAGCAAGTCCTAGTGACCCTCTTGTCTCTAGTCAGAAGCAGAAGCAGGCAGGTTTCTGTGAGTTTGAGACCCAACTGGTCTATATAGCAAGTTCCAGAGCAGCCAGAGTTACATAAAAAGACCCTGTTTCAAATAATAATAATCATAATTAAAAATAATTTTAAAAAATGAAAGTTGTGGCTGAGACAAAGTGTGTACCTAGCATGCACAAAACTCTGGTTTCAACTGCATAAACGGCATGGAGACACATGCCCATCATCTCAGCACTCAGGCAGTAAAGGCAGAAGTTCATTTGCAACTACAAATCAAGTTCAAGGCTTGCCTGAGACATGAGACGCTGTCTTTAAAAAACAAACAAACAAACAACAAGTGACAAAAATAAAAACAGGATGAGGGTGGCGCTGGAAGTCATCAACCATGACTTCTGTCCAGAGAGAAACCAGAGGAAAGACCAGCCACTCACTCAGCACAGTGTCCCAAGTGCAGAGAACCACAAGTGGCCAGGCCAGGCAGGGAGAGAGCTCGGCCTGTCTGGTGACAGGTGTCTAGGTGTGGCTGCAGACAGGCAGGCAGGAGCCTGCCCCAGAGCCTTGTTTGATACGGAAGGAAGGCTTGGTGAGCATTCAGATACAGGTCTGTCCGTTACCAGGTGCATGGTGTAGATCTTGATGGTAACTTCATGTCCTGGGATGATAGGTGTTCACCGTGACTGTTTTGTTGGGTTTTTTTCAAGACAGAGTTTCTCTGTGTAGCCCTGGCTGTCCTGGAACTTGCTCTGTAGACCCCGGCTGGGGATCAAAACACAGGACTTTATTTTTTTATTATTTTTTTATGTGCATGGGTATTTCCCCCCACATATATGTATGTCTGTGTGCTACATGGGTGTCTGGTGCCCACAGAGGCCAGAAGAGAGCATCAGATGCCCTGAAACCAGTTATATATATTTGTGAGCTGCCATGTGGGTGTTTGGAATTGAACCCCAAACTCAGGACTTTCTGCAGGCTAAGTGAGTCTTCTACTAACAAAGCCACATCCCTAGCCCCCTATATTGTATTGATGGCAGCTATTAGCCTCATAGAAAGACTTGTAATAAAGAACATGAGGATGTAGAGAGATGGCTCAGCAGGTAAGAGTGCTTTCTGTGTAATTATGAGAACCAGAGCCTGATCTCAGCATCTGGGTAGCAAGCTTGCTTGCCTAGAACCTCGGAGAAGATCAGAATTTCAAGGTCATCCTCAGCTACAAAGCAAGTTGGAGATGTTAGCCTGAGCTGGGTAAGACCCTGTCCCTAAATAAACAAATGAATGAATAGTAAATATAGGGTTGCGATTTCAGCCCAGAGGTAGAATGCTTGCTTAGCATTCATGATGCCCTGGGTTCAATCCTCATAAATGAAACAAGCAAACAAACAAAGCAACAAATAAGAAAACACCACACATATAGCACAGACTCATGAAATAACTACAGCCTATCTTCATCCTCATTGTTATCATTGTCAAATCACTGTGGCTCATTGTTGCTCCTCTTACCAAGCAGGTCTTATAGGCCTGGCCCTCTCCTGAGATATAAATTAGCTAAATTATTTTTTTCTCCATGTACCCCCATGGAATTAGGTGTTTCCTGCCCCTTCCTTCTCCTCCTCCTCTTCCTCCTCCTCCTCCTCCTCCTTCTTCTCCTGCTGCTGCTGCTTTGTCTTCTTTTTCATTTGTTTTTTTTTGTTTTGTTTTGTTTTGTTTGAGATTAAAAAAATCTTGTAGCAGGGCTTGGTGGCTCGAGCCTTTAATCCCAGCACTCAGGAGGCAGAAGCAAGGTAGATCTCTGAGTCGGAGGCCAGCCTCGTCTACAGGAATTTCAGGACAGCCAGGACTCCATAGAGAAATCCTGTTTCAAGCAAACCAAAAACAAACAAAAAATTGTGTATTAGCGTTTGGCTGGATGTAGTTCTGTGCATCATGTCCACACAGTGCCCATAGAGGGTGGCATGGAGCATCGGATCCCCTGGAACTGGAGTTACAGGTGGTTGTGGACTGCCACATGGGTGCTGGGAATTGAACCCTGTAAGAGCAGCTTCTGTAGGAACTGAGCCATGTCTCCAGCTCCCTTCTTTTCTTTGCGACCATACCTTATGTAGCCCAGCCAGACCTCAAACTCTCAACCTAGCAAAGAATGGTCTTGACCTCAATCTTCTTGTCTGCAAGGGGCAGAACCCAGGGCCTCGTGCACTCTAGGCAAGCACTCTGCCAACTGAGCTACATTCCCGCCCTTGAGGTTTTTCTTAAATTCTCTGATGCTCCATGGGGAAGGTCAGCAGGACCTGAAGTGGACAAGAAGGTTTTGTGGTAGGGAAGGGTGCAGCTGCATCTCAAGGGGTGAGGGTAAATGAGAGCATAGGGGCATGTCAGGTTCCTATGAAGGAAGGTAGTCACAGTAACACGGTAACTACTGAGCGCCTACTGTGCGTCCTCCTTTGTGCTGGAGAACTTTCTGCCAGACATCTCAGACCATTAGAAGCAGACCTCCCTCGGGGGTGGTGGGGCAGGCCTTAAATCCCAGTACCCTGGGAGGCAGAGGCAGGCCGATCTCTCAGCGTTAGAGGCCAGCCTCGTCTACAAAGTGAGTGCAGGACACAGAGAAACTCTGTCTCAAAAAACAAACAAACAAAAAACAAAAACACACAAAAAAGTAGACCTCCCAGGGGAGAGGTAGGCAGATCCCTGTGAGCTCAAGGTCAGCCTGGTCTACATAGTGGCTCTATAGTTCTAGCAGTTACCTTATTAAAATGATGGGGTTACAGAATAATAAGGATTTCCATTATCCTGGACACCCTAGCCAAGTTTCTAGCCTGTCCTTTCATTCTTTTGTCACTTTGAGGTACAGCTATAACTAGTTTTATCTGCTCAAGACAAACAGTTCTAAAATCACGAGTCGCTTGCTCTTCAGTACATAGCAGTAGCCATTATGGCTGTCATAATCCACACACCTTGATGCTTCGTAGGAGCCCTGGCACCAATAATTACACGAGAGCGTGCTTCATCCCCACGATTTTGCTTAGCCAACACTTACTGCAAACACCAGGAGAGAGACGTGGGGAGACCTCTCTCAACAAACAATGAAGCCTGTCTTACAGATGATGGGCTGAGAACCTGCTGTCAGTTTCTGCTTCCTTTCCAGCAGAGGCTTGAGTCCCTTGAGGAAAGAGTTCAGGGCAAGAGAGCAAGCTGATTGAAGCAGGAGGGAATGGACACCCCAGTGTGAAGAGTAGGAGCAGGGAGGGCTGGACGCCCATTCTGGGGAAGCAGGAGAGGACCATGGCTGGACTATGAAAGATAGGAGGGCAGCTTCGGGATAAATATAAGAGGCGGTTGTGGTCCAGTGTGGAAATGACAGTCCTCAGACTGTTGGCAGTCTCCTGCCTGTCCCCATGGTCACTAAGGAAGTGGAGTAAAGTCCCTTTGAAGGGCACTTAAAAATTTGGGTTCCTTGTGACCAGGTTTGTGTGGCAAAATATACAGAAAGTGAAAATTACCATTAATATTTATTTATTTATTTATTTATTTATTTATTTATTTGTTTATTTATTTATTTATTTATTTATTTTGCATGCACACAGTGACGCTCACAAGACAATTTCTGGGAGCTGGTTTTCTCCTCCCACCATGACTGAACCATGATTGAACTCAGGTCATGAGACTTGGCAGCAAAAGAGCCTTTACCTACTGAGCCATCTCCCCAGGACAATTTTCACCTTAAGAAATATTTATTTAAATATTCTTCTTCACATGTATGTGTGTGTGTGAGTCTGTTTGTTTGTGAGTGTGCTGTGTGAATGTGGGTGTCCATGGAAGTCAGATCATGAGATTCCCTAGACCTTAAGCTGCCGGTGACTTTGAGCTACCGGGTGTAGGTGCTGGGAGCAGAACTCTATTCCTAAGAGCAGAAAATGTTTTTAGGCATGGAGCCTTCTCTCCAGGCTGTGTTTACGCCTTTGATCCATTTTGTGTTAATACTTGCCCATGGTCTAAGGGTCCAATTTTGCTTTGTCTGTTGAAAAGACTGCCCCTTCTTCACTGAGAGATCCTGTCATTCTTATCAAAAATTGTTTAGTACCAGGGTGTAATGGCTCACACTCCCAACATTGGATGGCTGAGGTGGGAGGGTCAGTAGAACCTAGTCTAGAGCAAGACAGCTAAAAATAGTAACAACAACACACAGCAAAGCCCTTCGCCAGGTGCTTTCCTGTCGCTGTGTTAAAATGCCCTAACCAGCTGTAGCTCGAGAAAGACAGTTTATTATTTTGGCTGGCTAGAGTGAAAACGGCAGCAGGCGCAGGAAGCTGGTTGATCACATTTCATTCACAAGAAGAATACTAACCTTCAAAGCTCACCTGCAGTGATGTGCTTCTTCCAGAAGTCTGCACCCCTAAAGGTCCTGTAACCTTTCCACTGTCACATGCATGAGTCTATGGAGGACCTACGGAGGATGTTTCTCACTAAAACCACATATGTGGGTTCCTCTTGAGCTCTGTTTCATTGTGCTGGTCTGTCATGACCGTCTTTACGCCAACAGCCTTTTGTTTTGATTCATGTTGTTTTGCAGTTTTTCAAGTCAGGAACGGGAAGCTACAACTTTACTCATTTTCAAGACTGCTTTGGCTGTGGAGGCCGCTGGGATGGATGGTCAGCTCTCACTGTCAACTTGGCCTAGAATCGCCTAAGAAGAAAGTCTCCAGAAGGAATGATCTACGTTGGGTTAGTCTGTGGGCTTGTCTGTGTGATACTGATAAGTTAATTGGGATGGAAAGACACAGCCCACCACGGGTAGCACCACCCCCTAGAGAAAGGATCTTGACCCAAGAGTGGAGAAATGGAATGGAACACAAATGTGTGTGTGTGTGTGTGTGTGTGTGTGTGTGTGTGTGTGTGGTGTGTGTGTGTTCATTCCTCTCTGCTCTTGACTGAGGGTGACATATGACTAGCTGTTTAAAGTTCCTGCCTTGACTTCCCCCACAATAATGGTCTAAAATCAGGGATTGTGAGATGAAACAAAATCCCTGAAGTTGCTTATTTGTCAGGGTATTTCATTACAGCAAGAAAAATGAAACTAAAATAGTATCTCTTGAAATATTACACGAATTTAAAATTTGTCTTAAATGTATGTTTTATGTGTATGGGTGTTTTGCCTGCATATTTGTTTGAGCACCATGTTCATGCCTGGTGTCTGTGGGGCCAAAAGAGGACATCAGATGCCTTGGACCAAGGGTTATAGGTGTTCATGATCCACCATGTGGGTTCCATGAACCAAAATGTCCTCTTTTGCAGTTGTTTTGGCTTTTTGAGGCAGGGTTTCTCTGTGTAACTCTGGCTGTCCTGGAACTAGCTCTGTAGACCAGGGTGGCCTCTAACTCCTAAAGATCTGCTTGCTTCTGCTTCCCAAATGCTGGAATTAGAGGCAGGCACTACCATTGCCTGGCATCACCCATTCAATTTTAAGGAGGGCCTGGAGCAGCTAAGGTACCCCAAGGTACTGAGCAACCATGAGGGCAGTGAGGATGAATTGTGGGCTGAGCAGTTGGGGAAGGCTCAGACTTGGTACATCAAGGTGTGCTAGCAAAGAGCTGTCCTTCAGGATACCCGAACCTTTGAGGTTTGCAAGACTTCCGCCCTCAGAAAGAGGACTAGGGGTGGGAGGTGACCAGGACATTGTCATCAGTAGAGTGAACATTGTATGCTTATCCTTTTCCTCCCCTCATCCAGGTCTTCAGCTCTCCATGTCATTATTGCTTAATTGGAAGGAGAGCATCCTAGCTAGCTCGTAGGAGCAGCGGTTTCCTCGGAACTGTGACAGAATGCCCAGCAGAAGCAACTAAAGGGAGGGAGGGTTTATTTGGAATCGTGGCTTAAGAGGGGATAGTCCACCATGGTAGGGAAGGCACAGCAGAGCCTGTGACAGCGGGAGTGTGTGACATAGGCCCCTCGTGTGTGACGGACCGGGAACCAGAGCATTTGCTGGAGACAGGTTGGATCATAAGTTTCAAAATCCTACCCCTAGTGGTCCACCGCCATGCCGCATCCTCCAAAGGTCGTGCAGCCTCCAAAGTCAGGATGACCAGCGGGGACCAAGTGTTCAAACAGGTGAACCTGTGGGCAATGCTTCACACTCAGATCACAGCAGGAACACTACTGGTGTGCTGGAAGCGGATGGACAGCTTGTGATACTTCCTATCTTTAGATAAATCATTCCTGCAATGAGCCAGCTCCTTGTGTGGTGTCTTCTCAAGATGATGGAGGAGGCTGGGCTGTTCCTCAATGAGAGAAAGTTTGATCTTACCTGTAAGGGGTCCTAGGTTCCGTCCCCAACACTGGATACACACACACACACACACACACACACACACACACACACACACACGGAGCCCTGTCACCTCCTAACCGACAGAGCCAGAAAGAGTTACTGCTGAAGAATCAGATTGGTAATTGTAGCATTGGGGGCCGGGGGGTGGGGGGCAACCAGGCTGGGGCTGCAACCCTGGGCCTCACACTTGCTAGGCATTCTCTCTTACTGAACTCTTGAAGGCTCTCACTAGGTGAGGCTTACCTGCGGTAGTAAAAGCAGGGGCTGCCACAGGTGGCCTTGTGCACCCTATACTCTTGGGAGATGACTCACCAGGCCCTAAGCTAGACCTCTGGCTCAGCCTCAGAAAGGCTGCACCACAGCTGCGCACTTAAGAGACATGAATCTTGTCACAGACTCACAGGCTGGGGTGTAGCTCTGTGGTGGAGTGCTTGCCTAGGGTGTGTGGGGACCGGGTTCCCAGCCACTTGAGACACAGAAGTAGACTGAGTAGCAAACCCTCTCCTTGTCTCAGAGTGAAGACAAGAAGAAATCTAGTTGAGCTTTCTGTTTCTCTTCTTCTTCTTCCTCTTCTTTCCCCTCTTCCTCTTCTTTTTATTTTTTGGAATTGATGCATGGTCTCTCTATGGAGCCTTGGCTGGTCTGGAATCCACTGCGTAGACTCCCAGAAATCCATCTGCCTCGGCTCTCCACTGCTGAGATTAACGTGATGCACTCCAAGCCCATCCTCCTCCTCTTCCTCTTTTTAACATATTTTAATCAAGTCTTTGAGAATTTCATTGCGATGTATTTTTGTCATAGTCACCCGAACTCCTTCCTGATTGATCCGCCCCCACGTCCCCACCCGACCCCCAGCTTCGTGTCCTCTATTTTAAGATAACCCACCGAGTCCAGCTTGTACCGCCCATATCCTCCTCAGTGTGGGGCATTCACTGGAGTATGCTGGGCCTACGAGGGGGCCACATCCTTAAACAGACACTTCCTCCCTCAGAGGCCATAGCCATTACTTCATGGCCAGGGGTGGGGCCTGCGAACCCCTTCCTCCTCTGTGCTTAGGGCTCCCCTGACTTGACCTTGTGTAGGAATTATGTAGCCACAACTTCTGTGACTTCAGGAGTGCAATGCTTTCCCCCTCCCCCCACCAGGGCAGAGTGGCAAGCGTGCGCCAGAGCAAATCTGTGAAGGGCGGAAGATGACTTGTTTTTGTTTTTGTTTTATGAAACAGGGTTTCTCCCTGTAGTCCTGGCTCCTGGAACTCGCTTTGTAGATCAGGCTGGCCTCCGACTCAGAGATCCACCTGCCTCTGCCTCTGCCTCTTGACCACTGTGCTTGGTCGGAGGAAAATTTAAGTTCTCTCCTTCCACCCGAGCATTGAACTCGGGTCTTCAAGCTTGGCAGCACGTGCCTTTACCTGCTGAGCCACCTTGTTGGCCCGAGCTTTTTGTTTCCTCAAAGGCAATCTGTCCATCTGCTTATTCATTTACTCATTTATTCATTCAGTGTCCAAACCACAGACAGAGCCCCTGGGCAGGTACTGGGATACAGAGTCCAGTGGGCCACAATCTGAGGAGGTGACAGACCAATGGACACCCTTGGTGAATGGGAAGAAGGAACAGAATACTTCTGTTCTATAGAATAGAATGCGGGAGGGACTCTACTCACAGGCTGACCTGGGAGACTGGTGATATCTTTCTCAGAAAAGCACGAAAGGCAAGGATGAGCAGGCAGCCTGGAGAAAAAAGGAGGAAGACATGAACAGTGGGAGCCACAGGCCTGGGGCTGCAGGTAGAGGCCTAGAGAGGAAAGCCATGACGAAGTCACTCAGGGAACTAGAGAATCGGAGACTTTGGGTTCCAAATGCATGTGCCCACAGCACAGAACCCTAATTTTCATGGCCTCAGACAGTATCCCAGAGCCCTACTGGGCCACCATTGAACCCTCAGAGACCCAAGAGAGCTCAGATATGAACTTGCATGAGTCCACATATGTTGAAGGCCCCTCAAGCTCCTGACTAGCAGGACTCTACGGCTTGGGCAAAGGCTGAAAGAGACTAGCTCTGTGCCTAGGGCAACAAGACTGTGGTGTCTAGCAGCGTCTCAAAACGTGATATGCCCAAATGGAAGTCTGCGGCAGGTCTTCACTGATTTCAGCAGACTAGATGGCCACATCAGGCCTTAACACTTGCGACTGGCCTTCATTTGAGGAAGGGCCCTTAGCTCCCCACGGTGAGTCCAGCCCACTTGACAGCTGCAAGGCTTCATGCTTGTGTGTGTGTTATAGGGTACACATCCTCGACTATCAAGCCTGAACCCTCCTCATTTTTCTCCATCCCCTGGCAATGCTTTATCAAACTCTAACCCGGCCACCATTATCATTCACCTAAAGGCATTCACTTCCTCTTAACCTGTCAAGCTTTCCTTAAGTCATCTTGATCACTGGGACAGAGGCCTGATCAAAATTTTGGCCCAGCAGAGAGGGTCTGCTTACCCCAATAGTTGGCTCCACTCCATCACATCCTCAACTGTCAGCTCCTCCATCATCTGTGGCCACTCTTGAGGGGATGCTGCCTTCCCCTCTTCTTGGCCACTCTGCTTGCTTCTCTTTTGAGTCTTAGTTGAGATGCTAACACCTTGGTTGACCCTTCCATGCCATCTTTAAGTTGGGGTAGGGTGACCTAACATGGTCTTAATACACCTCAGTTCCTTCTCCCCTGGAGAGGGACATGTCGGCACAGCTACAATTCTTACGATTCTTAAGGTTTATGATGGATCCGTAGTTTGGGGGCCAAGGGCCTCCCGGGCGGGGGACCAGCCTGGAGGAAGAAAGTCCAGGCTACACACCCTGCCCTTCTCCACCTCACCAAGTGACCACAATGAGAAAGCGGCCAGTCTTGGACTTAGCTCTGCCTAGGCTTGTTCTGGCTGGCTATGCTAGGCCAAGGGTATTCTCTGGAGGCCTGTGTGCCTTTTGAACTTGAGTTTCTGGCTCTTGGGTGAGTTAGAATGCTTATTCCCACATGAGCTAGGAATGCTTCCCTGGGGCTCTGCGCTTTGAACTGTCTTGTAAAAGAAATCAAGAAGTCCCACAGACTGACCTCGGGGGGTTGGCTTCTAAGTCCTCATCTCACCACACTCTAGAAGCTTCCACTGAGTGTTCATCCCCACCCCTAATTCCACCACCCCACCTCAAGTAGCTAGGGAAGGTCCCCAAGAGCCCACCAGTACCCGTGTGCCCATCCACCGACCCGCAGTGAGTTCTAGGGAAGGAGGTCGGGATGACACACTCGCCTCGCTGAGCACACATCTGTAATGTGGGAATGTTTTTACAAGCATGTGTGGCTCCTGTAATTAAAGATTCGAATCCAATAAAAAGCTCCAGCCCTTAGGCCATGGGTTCA